AATCCCAAAATAACAATAACATTAATAACCAAACAAACAACAGTTTTAATTAAATATTTGTCCATATTCGTGAACTATTGGTTTTATTTTCTGATGGTCGAAGATTTATTCCCAGTACAAAACAAATACATGACTACATCTGTTTATGTTATATACCTGGTTATATAAATAAAACATTGTATAATGGTATCAGTGGTCTAGTAACCATAATAGATCTGCTTGGCTCTCTCTCTTTTTATTATACATATGGTACTTAATATATAAATAATCGATAACAGTTTCCATAGCGAAAAATGAGTCATAAAAGTGAGTTATCTAATAATGCGATTAAATTTAGCCGCTAATCGCTATCTGTCGATATCTTTATAAACAAATATTATGTTATGTTGCAATGCCGATGTTCAAATGTTATTAGTACCTATTTACTACGGTACAACAATCACTTGATACCATCACGTTTCATAATCGTGATCCTGTCTGTATCGCTTTAATCGAGTATATAATCGAGATAGATACAACTTAATAGGTATATATTCAAACATAATATAACCTAATGTACTTAAATACGATATTACGTATCTAGTTATTTAAAGTACTTAAATGAAGAAAGTCCAAAATTTGTAGTATTTATTATTATTACCTACCTATCTCAATTTCACACGAGTTTATAGCACTGCGTATGTGTATGATGGAGGTAGGAAGAAGAGAAGAATAGAAGAATGAAGAAATTCTCAAAATATAGTGAAAACCGTATCAAAATTAATTACTTGGTTACAGAAGAAGTAAGAAGATAAATAAATAAATGAAAACAGCGTTTTTGCTTTACATTATTTATAAATAAATTTTGCATATAATTAAACTTATACCTGACTAGAAGACATATAGAAGTACAATATAGCAAACAAGTTTAGGACTGTTTGTTTGACCTATTTTTTTCTAAATTAAATAAAACTTTTTTATACTGTTCTCATTCTTCTACATACTATATATATGAATGCTATACTATATGAAAATCGCGAAAAATACATATACATATAGTTCAGTCATGAACTACGTAATACAAGTTTAGAAGTTGTCATTAAAACTTTAAAGTCATATCTAAAATGGACTTTAACTATTTTGTTGCTTACCAGAGAGCGAATTATAATATTAGATTAGGTACTTGGTTGTATACATAATTAAAATTAGTACAAAGTTAGGTTTTAATTAGACCGTAAAAATCTAACCTTAAGAGGAAGTTCATGATATAGTTGTTAAAATTCTATAGTTATGTTTAAATTTTAATTGTGATTCTTTCAACTATTTTAATAATAATAATAATATCTGAGGCCAAATCACTCAGCACCATCCAGTTATGGGTACTAGACGACTGATGTAACTACATTCATACATTCTTTTTCTATAAACACATGCGTCTATACTTAATATTATAAAACTGAAGAATTTGTTTTTAAAAAAATATTTTTGTGTTGGATAGTCCATTTGTCGAATATATGTGTAATATATATAGAAAACACCCAGTCAGATACGAACACTAATGAATACAAATTTTTGTAGAGTGCGAGGCATCGAACACATGACCATCGAAAGGTAAGCATATTATGTTATGCATTAGAAATTTTTATTTTTTTCAAGAAAACTCGAATAGTGTTGTTATTTTTAATTCTATTGTTCTATCTATTAATATTGATTTAATTATTATTTCAATATTTTGAAGTAGTCATTTATAGAAACTTATAAACATTAATAAATTAATGTTAATTGTATATTTTATTGAAATTGGGAAATTATCATACAAAACTATATATAACACAAGTGATAACTGGACCATAGACATACACATGCTAACATCCAGACAATTTAAACCACAAGTAAGTTTCCGCTTGCCCACGTCAATTCAAAATACATCTACTGAAAATAAAAGAGAGATTCTTGTTAAAATTTCAAATTTCAATTACAAGTTTTCCCTAACCTAACTTCAAATGGGATGGCAAAAAATAAAATGTAACAAATAACAAAAGAATAACAGCAACAATGTTTTTGTTTACAGACGGCGAGCGGGAGAGTAACCACTCATTTTGCATCAATTAACTAATGTATTTTTCACTAGACAAGAAATTTCTAACCTACAAAATACAAGTAAAATAATTAAGTTGCTGTTCCGGACAGGACAGAACTAAGTCGAGGATTACGACTGTCTATGTTTTCGCTTTACATCACGCACAACGGATTTTCATGTGGATATCACGATTATTTAGAAATCATTGCAAATCAGTTTAGTCGCCCCCAAAACATTATATAACTATTGAATTCCGATAATACAGTATATTTCGGTCAAATTTAGTCAACTTCATTACTGTGTGGTACAGATTCAGAGTTACAATTTGATGACTAACTATAAAAGAAGATAAAATCTTGATATATATATATAACTAAAAACTATTAATAAAAATTGATATTATAATGTCAGTGAATATATTGCAGACAACTTGTAAAAAATAAAATCAGTAATTGTACTTAATATATATATATATATTCACTACATATAAATAAAAAAACATTATACAAAATAATTAGACCCTTAAGGCTTTCATCGTAACTTGCTGTACCCATTAGGGTCCATAATACTTGTATAATATTATAAATTTATTGTAACTATACACATTGTGCTTTAATATATTGTTTATGACATTTTCTTTACCGTGTGTTACAAATAAAGTATATTCTATCTATTTAATATTATTATGTCAAACCTTATTAGAGGGTTATGGAATGCAAAAAAATAAATCAACCACTAAAATACTGCAGATAACAAATTAAAACATAAATAGTTTTGAGAATAGGTTTATTAACTCGAAATACATTTCATATGAACTGTTTTGTTATTACGTAGACATACATTTTTCAATTAAATAAATATTTATTTACGTTTTATTTGCATATTGTGAAGGCTGAATATTGTATTGACCGAATGGGGACAATTATTAACAAGCATAGATAATAATTTTATACTAATTAGAATAATTCTATATGGCACGAGTTGTATTATCTATAACTTTAAGAATAAACAAGTTACTGTGGTGATAACGACAAATCTATACGTACGATATTTTGTAGATTAGTTACGAAGGTCGCTACAAAGGTCGGTGTAAGGGCGACCGAGTTTTATTCAGGACACAAAATTTACTAAATGTACTCTGAGGTGGGCACTGTGTATTAGATTAGGTTTTGCTTACTAGGTTTTACTAGGATTTACCTTTATTTTTTATAAAACCAAAGACGAAAGTAACAGTAATATGTAAATACGATGATATAATAGATGGCATTATGTGAATTGTTCAAGGTATATCCTTCGACAGATCATACAATACTATCTAGTCACAAATAGGAGCTTGTGTTATGTGTATAAAACATGTTCGTACAATTAACTATATTCTATTCAATACAACCTTCGTACAACTAATAGAAAAACTTATATACTATTTTTTTGTAAATACATACATAGACGACCCGCCGCCGCAACCTCTTTTGATATTTTTATTATTTTGTAATGTACATTTTTAGAACAGTTCCTTTTAAACGTCATGTTTTTTGATACATTTCGATTATTATTCTTTCATTGTCTTTTGGGTAGTTCGCAACTGTATTTAAATATATTTTACTATCATATTCTATACGTGTTTTCACCACTTAGACACCCTTACAATCCACCGATCCATTACACATAGAAAATCCTCACACCAATCATAAGTCATATTTAGAAATACAATTATTTGTATTGTGTGAGGAATTGAACTCGTGACCATCGGAAATAAGTCGGTGTACTAAACCGTTGGACTACCGAGACCGTCAAACTATATACGGTAACTATATAGGAAAAGTAATCTCTATTCTGTAGTCACATTCTTGAAAGCCAATTCATATTTTTATTAAAAATATATTTTTCTGTCTGTCTGTTTGAACATTTTCACAGCTGATCGAATATTAATAATATTTAAAGCACGAATACCTAGCATCACAAGTACCGACATAGGCTATTTTTTATATCAAAAAAGCAGGCGGAATCGCTGGTAACAACACATCTGAACATGGAAAGAATAAGTGGAAATAGTATCTATAATAAAGTATTAAGTTTAATAATTTAATAACAAACTAAATGAATACTAGATATAATGTGGGCAGTAGGCACTATAACGGAATTATAAGTATATTAATATATATTTACTCATGATTTAAATATTTCTATATTGCGGGATTCGAACCCATAACCATCAAGAGATGAATTAGTGAGGTAACCGCTACACCTTTAAAGTCATCGATCGAGTAAGAATTTGATGAAGAAATCTAATATAGCGATAATGAAGCTCACAACTTAAACCTCATATGAGGTAGTCAGAGCCATAAGAAAGCTAATGCCATTGTGATAAACGTAGCACTCAATATTAACCCTTTTTACCGAACACATTTTATATCATTTAAACTCAATATGAGTGTAGACATAGTGCCACCGTTTCTCAGATAAGTCTAGCCTGATAAAGATATTTATATGACATTTTAAATAAATACGCAGTTTTTTATGTACTTGAACTACGAGTTAGTGGAATCAAGACAGAAAACCACTAAACTGTAACGGTATTGTACCACTAACGACACTAGTTTCAACTTAAGTTATTACTTATCCTAAACTGGACTACTCGTAGTTAGTACTATTTATCAGCTTATTGCCATTGTGCGAAATTGTTACATGTAAGTCCAGAACATAGTGATTACTTGGTCACTGGGTCCAGAATGTATATGAAGAACACTCGTTGGTGGCATGACGCTGAATTCCAATTTCAAATTATGTTAATTTCATTTTTAATATTTAAATTTAGAATACATCATCGGATACATACCTATCAGCGCGTATACGTTTATAATAAAAAATATAACTTTTAATCCCCATAGGTTAACAATAATTATTTATCGTTATTAATTTAAATTAATTATTAAGTACTCACTTTTAGGTCGATTCCTTTCACTGTGAAATTCCTTGATTGCGTTATACATTTGAGACGATTTGCTAATCTATTATTTATTTTACTTTTCAAACATAGAGAGAACATTTTGACACTGTTTAATAACTGAAAATATATTTATATTATGAAATAATTCACGGTTAATTATTATTACAATTAATTACATTACAATGTCCATTGTAACAATGGAACATGTACTTCTAAGTCGATTTTATTGCAATAACTGAATAGATGGGTTGGTTTATGTGCGAGTGTTTGTGACGTGCGAACCGATAAACTATCGTGCAATACAAGATGTTATAAATGCGAACAATTATAACACTGTAGTATCAAAGTTCATATTTGATAAAACATTAATATTTATTTATGTATTTCAATCAAGTTCAGTTATACTTAATTATATTAATACATCAATTACGTACTATTCATAATTATGTATTATTATTCTGATTATTTACTTTCATCGGATTATGCTTACAAAATTAACATTAAATAGTGTATATGCTCATATATAATGTATATATATGTCGGTATTTAAATGCCTGTTTATCATTTTGTGAATAACATTGTTTGCATTTATCCTGTTACCATGACTGACTGACGGCTATTGTTATTATTATTATTACTAATATTTTATTTCCTATGTATATATGTAATTAAATTATTTATATTCTTCCTATTGCGAAGCGTAACTTAACTTTTATATGTATACCTTATTAGCTACTACCTCAGAAACATTCTGCTATTCCCTTTTTTTAGCCCCAAGCGAGATTCATGTAAACATTTTGATTAATGAATTGTATTATCTACAAATATGTATAGACCCGCGATTTCGACCAGGTGGAATTTAATTTTTTAAATTAAATAATAAATCTTACCAAAATAAATTTATCCCAAGTTACTCCTTACATCAGTTAAAGTCTCATCATGATCGGTACAGTTATTTCAGATTAGCGAAAACAAAAAGACCGAACGAGGAAATTTTTTAAAATGTATAATACATTGATTAAATTACGTACCGTACCTGCCATATTAATTTATTGGAAAGCTGTTGCTTCAAAAGTACAAACAGACACTTTTATTTGATTTATTTATATAGATAGTAAGAATCCTATGTATTAAAACGCTATCTATTCATGTATTGATTGCCTTGTTGTCGTTTAGATGTGAAAAAAGGGTCATCAATTCGTACTAATAACACTAGAATTACATATGTATTTTGGATACTAATATACAAAACTTATTATAGTAATACTAGATAATACTAAAACATAATAAATATAGCGTTATTAAAATAGATGTCGCTCTGAATTGTTTTCAATAGTAAGTACGTTTTATATTTATCATATTAGAATTTATTTAAGAATAATGGGTAGGATCTTTCAATTGTAATATAGAATTACAAGTATAATTTAGAATTATTTATGTAGATATATTCCATAATTATACAGGTACACTCCACGAGCAATAATCCATATTTCGATACTTATTTTTTTCGATTAAACTTTTATCGCGGCCATAACACTTCCGATGGATGTATCCAAATCTAACGCTAGGGATCAATTTAACACCTGGCAGATTAAGTTTTATAACAATAAACACTATCAGTGAGTTTTAATAAATACTGTTTTTAATTAAAGATTTTTAATAAATAACTCACTCATATTATTATAAACTCATATTGTTTGTTGTGTATTGTTATAAATGCTACAGTATAGACATATACTTAAGCATTTATTATAATATGTGTGTCTGTTACTTTTCTTGACTAAACAGCTAAATAGATCTTAATGTTTGACTCGAAAATAAATAGTATCAAGAGGACAGATATAGAGTATCTCTTTCTCAGAAAACACACGAAGTCACGGGCAATAGCTACTTTATTTAAATAAAAAACATATTATAGTAATTATACATTTTTTTATATTTATTAACTGTTAATTTGTAACACCCTGTACTATTTAATTTAATAAATTATCGTTATAAACAAGTATTCTATGACTATAAATATTATCACATAGGTACTAGTAGAGTTGTTGCCACAAAGACGTAGGTACATATATATGTATATTACTATACCTATTATTCACTCTTATCTCAATATATAACCTTCTATTATTTTAATCAGACTATAGTAATTAAATGAAATAATTATAATATGGAAATATGAACATATACCTACATCATATTTTTGCTTGTTCCGGGCTAGGATTACAGCCAATTGGAAGCTATATTGATTTCTTCACACAATTTCAACAACGGAATACAAATCATATCCCTTTAGCATAAGGTCGTGTTTTCATTTTCCGTAAGTCACACCTAAGATCTAATTAATTACTACAATGTTATAAGCTTATGATGTTGGTACGTATTCTCTACTAAACAGTCAGGGGTGCTAACCGTACAAAATTCCTCTTACAGGTACGATATTTTTGTACTAAAATTTTAATCTTTGTTCCAGTTCCAGTTTACAGTACTGGTTAATGAACAATATAACAGGTTAGACAACCGAGTTGAGGTAATAGGCGACATTTTATTACATTATTATTTACTTCAAACGATCCTAAATGTTTCAAGGTTGGCATCCCTGGAAGCAGGTGAGAATGTTTAATTTGTAAGTTCATATTACATAAGGATAAGTGAAGACAAGCATCTATAATTGAGTCCATATATTTAGAAAATTCTTTATTAAATTGTTAATTAATTCTTTATAGATTTTTCAACTAGCTTACACTTCTGCTAAGTAAATATAGTTAAGGCTAGCATTATCTATCTGAAATATATAAATGAGTAATATAGGATTCAATTGTTGTTTCTTGATTGTGCATTTATATTGTTCCATACTAATTTCATTGTGTTTATATGTATGAATTCAATTGTTTGTTATATTTTTATTTCAATAATTGATTCCGTATTATGTGTTACTTAAATTATATTCTAGTATTGAAAGAAATACCAACCGTACAGGAATCTTCAAAGATGTACAAGATTTTTGTACGTTGGTATAAGGACTTCGTATATGGACCAAAATACAATGATGTACGAGGTTTGAGAGGTAAATTGAGCCCGTATATTCGAGGTTTTATGAGATTTTTATTCTTTCGTATGAAGCTAAATGTTTTAAGGGTAGATCTTCATTCTTTACTAACGTCAATAAATATTGACTATTTTTTTAGAATTCTGGATATTGTATGGTGCACCCGCCTGTGCTAACGATTGATAAGATGTATATGAGGTTAGGTCAGTTTGTCCATGATGATACTTTGCTAGTAATGCGGTCAATAGTCCGCATTACTAACAATCATCTTCCGCCAATGGACTATTTTTAGGACAAGGAGTATTTTAATATAAAAAAAATTAAGACAAAACGATATCGTTTTGTCTTAATTTAATTAAAATCTTTAATTCTAAACTAATTTAAAGATGAAACAATATAGAGAGACTGTAGATAACTAGAGAGACAGTAAAATAGATATATAAAAGATATTAAAAAAAATTAAGACAAAACGATATCGTTTTGTCTATCTCTATATCTTATAATCATTTACGTTACATACGTTAAGTTAAATATAGGGAAAGTGACAATTATATGTAAAAAAAGACATATTGTATAACTAGCTTTTGGCCGCGGCTTTGCTCACGTTAATTTATCTCCATAGGGGTGGAATTTATCAAAATCCTTTCTTAGGGGATGCCTACGTCATAGTAGCTTTATGCATGCATAGTCTCAGCCCAATCTGTTTAAAATTGACAAAGTTTCATACAAACTTTCATCTCCTATTTTATCCCCTTGTTGATAGAATTATTCAAAATCCTTTCTTAGCGAATGCCTACGTCATAACATCTATCTGCATGCCAAATTTCAGCCCGACCCGTCCAGTGGTTTGGGCTGTGCGTTGATAGATCACTATGTCAGTCACCTTTGAGTTATATATATATAGATAGAATAAGACACGTAAGTTCTAAAAATGTATAAAAAGTTTGCAACACTTAATTCACCTAGTAGTACCATTTATAACACAAATAGGTTATAACTACGTCATAGGTCTAAAAGAGACACAATTGCAAAACATGTAGGTACAATTGCCTCAATTAACTGATCACGTTCCAACAAATGCATATAGTGCAATGCAAATGCATGCTTATTATCACTGTATAAAATAAACACATCGCACCCAGACTACGTTGATAAATAATTTATAATTTGTGTTGCAACCTCCTTTACACTTCGGCACGGTTATAATATTTATATTTAAGAATAATAGGCTAAATGTACCTATATATAGATAATAGAAATAGAAATAATCTTTATTCAAATAACCTCATTACAAGCACTTTCCAATAGTCATATTTTGATTCTACCACTCATTCGGAATGCAGATTCATCACAAGTAGAATGAGCAAGAAATTTGTGTGTTGCTCTTTTTAATAGATGTTTTTTTATATAAATAATTACTGTAATTATATCAAATAAGAAGCATGCGATAATCATCATTTCATTTCATTTCATTTCATTTCATTACTATCATATTATCAGGTAGTACATACATTTACACATATATAATGCGTTTTATAAGCTGATACAGACACATAAAATACGTTTAGTATACTACTAGTATATCTAAATATATATATAATAATAATAAAACTTTATACTTTTATATGTCAGCATTGATGGAATAAAGAATCAATAAATAAATAAAACGGTAACGCGAGTATATTTCTAAGTATATAATTAAATTAATATGCGTATTACTATATTTAATTTATACTCTTAAAAACCTGCTTCAATATCTGTAGTGATGTTTATTTGTCCAGTGTAATGAAAAAAAGGGTGATATGCATTTGAAAGTACAAAACCGTAGACAGAGTAAAACAAATCTGCGTATTCCATTTTCAAAAAGGAGATAGCAAATGATGGATGCTGTTACATTAAGGCGGGTTTTGTTCGGCGAATGGAGGCCCGAACTTTTTTCTACGAACATTTTTGTACACTCGCTGTTGTTTTAGTCTGACTAAACCTACCTGATTCCATGATCTGTTCTATCTCTTGATCTGTATTTTTTTTCTTGTTTTAGGTGAGAGCTTTGTAGCCTAATACTACACCAAACTAGATCAAATGGGTTTTAAATCAAATCTGCCTATCACCAAAAAAAATTGTACCAGACAATAAATATTTTACTGTCTCTCTAGTTACCTACAGTCACTATAAGACAAAATTAACCTGAATAACGACAGT